AGTCGTTTTTCACTAACATTTGAATCTGGATATTGTTGTTTTCATAATTCATACATTCGCTTTCAATAGCCTCTTTTTTCTGCTCTGAGTTGTAATAACAGGCCATTATGGCACGATTTTCATCTGCATTATATTTTTGTCATTTTGTTGGGTGGTCCACTTGTAGCTCACTTGTCGACGGATGCCCAGGGACCTCAACATCCGCTGCTGGCCTTGTTAACCTGCGTGACGACCAATGCGGTATAGAATTTTTATTTGTTTCTTTCACCATGTTATATGGGTTGGTGGGTTTTTTTTTATGGGGTCAGGTTGCCAACCTGATCCCAACCCTCCTCCTTTCTCATCCGGGCTTGGGACTGTCAACGGCGGAGTTATAGAGTTGTTGTTGTTGTTGTTGTTGTTGTTATTAATACAATACTTTTAAATTAATTTTGTGTAACTATTTAACTGAAGGCAGTAAATCGTTCTTGTTTCTGTCTCCTATTTTCTCACAACACAACTGTGAGGTGGGGTGGGTTGAGGGAGAGTGAGAGGCCAGCTTTCATGTCTAAGGGAAGCCTCAAGGACAGTCTTCTGGTTTCAGCACCTTAATGACTACATTATAGATATATGGATGAAACTGGTAATTAGATACTCATTTGAAGCTGAAAGAACAGATAAGTAGAACATAACTAGCGTAAAGGAGATTAGAAAATATGAATAAAAAACAACTCTGTAAATGTCTAGGTTTTTGGAATAAAATTGACATGCAGTGAATATTGATTATGACTGATTATGAATCATGTAGTCATTTTTCATTTCTAGTTATTCTCTCCACAACAAATTGTCCCTAAATTGGCCTTGGAAATCTTCCAGCAGTGCACCTGTCATCATGGTAACATCCACCTTGCTTCTGGTTGTCTTTTTTCCCCCCTATTGCCTTCCACGTATCCCAGCATTAGAACTTTCTGTGTAGGTATATAATGCATAATAGGTCTAAAGTAGGATAATTTGAATCTGGTTATTTGTGTCTCAAATGCTAACAATAGATTGACCAATATTGTAAATATTATGAATAAAAATATTAATATTTAAGTTTCCACAGAATCTTAAGCTGCCCAGAATCATTTGATTGAATTTGATGGTTATAGAAATTTAATGACTGAATGAATATAGTAGAGCAATCAACTACAGCATTGTGTATAGAACAGCTTTTCAACGTATATGTTATTATTGATCTGATTTTTATAGACTATATGTTACATGACCTTTCTGAGGAAAAAAGACGTTTGATTGAAGAACTAGAGCAAACTACCATTAATTTACTAAAAGCAAAGAGTATTGCTTCAGAAAAAGGTATCATTGGAAAATCTATTGGTAAGTTCGGATTAAATGAATCTATATTTAAAGTAAACATTAACTTTAGGTATTTCTTTACTTGCATATATTGTGCCACATTGACATTATTGAAAGAGTCCATGTCAGTTATGTTATGATCATGAAAATCTCTTTCATCCATTTAAGAAGCATTGATTGAAACTCTCAGAAGAAAAAGAGTTGTAATAAACATTTTTCTTTGGATAACTGTAAGCTTCTTTTATGGGTATTTATGTTTGTTTAGGTTGTTGGCTCACCCAGGAATAAGCATGCTACAAATATGAAAATGAGCACATTTAAGATATAGGTTGAGGGAAATGTGTTAGGTTCTGATATTAGCTTTTAATGTTTGCTTTGAAAATAAGATCAGTACATTCTTTAAGTAAACTTGGCAAAACTATGAAACATGGAAATCTGGCTTAAGAGCTCTGAATACTTATCTACCTTGCCCATCAACAATTAGTCGAAAGGTGAATGGCTTATAAGGGTCCTTCAGATAGCAATCTTCTATAGGACCTATTACTTGATATTTTAATTGAAGGTGGTGGAGAGAATGTACTCATTGAACTCATTGAAACATAGAGGAGAGAGAGGAACGGAGCAGTTCTCTCTCCTTTTTATATTATTGCTTGCTAATGCACTTGTGCAGTGCTCCGTACATTTTTAATGCATGGTGAGTGCTTGGGGTATGACTGTGGGTATGACTGTGTTGTATGTATGTGCCCACTTTTTATTATATAGTTGTATTTGTGTTTTTTAAATTCTNTTCAATTAAAAAAAAAAAAAAGGATTCAGAATTAGAATAGAGCTGGAAGGGATCCTGTAGGGTTTCTAATCCAGCCCCTACTCAAGCAGGAGATCTTATACCATTTTGGACAAATGACTGTCCAGTCTTTTCTTAAAAACTTCCAGTGATGAAGGACTCACAAGGTCTGAAGGTAAGCTGTTATTAATTGTCCTCACTTATTAATTGTCCTCGCTGTTAGAAAGTTTCGCCTTGGTTCTAGGTTGCTTCTTTTCTTGATTAGTTTCCATCCATTTTTCTTTTTTTGCCCTTTAGTGCTTTGGAAAATAAATTGACCTCCTTTCCTTTGTAGCAGCCTCTCAAATATGGGAATATTGCTATCATGTCTCCCCCAGTCCTTCCTTTCTCTAGACAAGACAAACGGTACGCTATGAGATTGGAAAGCGGCTTTGTTATTATGGATTCATTTGTAATCTTATTGTATCTTGTAATCTTACTGTATATGATTACCATATTTTTCGGAGTATAAGATTCACCGGAGTATAAGACACACCAAAGTTTTGAAGAGGCAAATTAAAATATTTTTTTGCACTCTGCAAATGTCCCCCAAACTGCCCATTTTTTTGCAAAAATGGGCCCGTTTTTTTCCAAAAAGGGGCATGGATAGCCTTTAGGAGGCTTATAGAGTGCTCCTGTGACTCGGGGGGGGGGGCGGAATTTGAGCAAAAAACGGCAATGTTTTGCTCATTTCTGCCCTTCTCAGTCCCCAGGAGCTCTCTGAAAGCCTCCTAAAAGCTATGCACGGCCATTTTGCTGAAGGGGGTGGGGTTTCTGGAGGCAGAAATGCTGTATTCAATGTATAAGACACACCCAGATTTTCAACCTCTTTTTTGAGGGAAAAAGGTGTGTATTATAATCCGAAAAATACGGTATATCACAATTGGGCTATTATCCAAGTATTTTCCTGTAATCTTTGAGTTTAGTTGTCTCTCAATAATAACTATTTCCTCAGCAATATTTGGAATTTTGGAAATCCTCTTATCTGATATTGGTAATATCTCTACAAGAGTGATAGGAATGAAAAGACCATTCCCATGATGTATTATTTTAGTTTCCATTTTATTTTGTGTCACTGCCTGATCACTAGAGCTTAGTAGTGATACACCCCTGGAGAAAAAAAATGATAATTTTTTAAAATGCTTTTGAGATTTAATGTACACATCTTCAGTTACTGAGCAGAATCCCACTTTTTTGTAGAATTCTCTAGTGAGGACCATTGTTTTGATATCTTAGTCTTTCCTTCGTCAGCTCAGTTTATAAACAGCTTTCAATAAGAACTTACAGAAGCATTACAAAGAGAGGGCTATTACTTAAAAGTATAAGTTGAAACGGGAAATTCTCACTTTGTAATATTCCTGGAACAGTCTCTAGTTTAGGCAGCAAATTTCACAATCTTCTAATTTCTTTATGTTAAGTTGTAATCTTCAAATTGAGTGTTAAAGCCCATACATTGTGACACAATCTTCAGATATGCTGAATTAGGTTATTTCCAGGAGTTCCAGATAATTTACAAGGCTTTCCATTTCTCTTATTCTGGCTTTCTTCTGAACAACCCAAGATAAAACTTTATATATAATTAACTGTAGATGTTTGCTCAAAAAGAGGGTAAACTCAAAAGGTGATGTAAACTCTGGTTATCTCACCTTCCACATCCTCTGGAAACCCAAGAGCTACTTTAATAGTTAATTCAACTTCAACAGTAATAATAGCTTTGATGTTTTTTCCCCCCAAATATTAATGTGTTACAGAAAGAGAATTATATGAGTTATCTGGAAAAAGAGAAGAAATACTGGGAAAGCTTGAATTTGTTCAGAAAGATCTAGTTGAAGCTTCAAATTTTGCAGCTGTCAATCCTGGCGAAATCAGTGGTAGGTATTAAATATTATTTTTAAAAAAATTCCATAGCTCTTTTCTTTTAATTATTTCCCACTGTTGAATAGAATTTTGACACAAAACAATATTTAAAGAAGGCAGTAAGAACTGAAACTGTATTCCAAATTCAAGGAGTAAGTATCAATAAGTATCAATAAAAGAGAATATCTGTAGCTCAGGATTGAAATGACGGATTGAACAGAACTGATGATGTTATCTAGTTTGGATAATGAAATGCTTGCAAGGAAACAACCAAGAAATCTAAGTATAGGATTATTTTCTAAGTATATGAGAGGTTTGTAGGGCTAAATCAAGAATTGTACACTGCACTTTTAATAAAAACAGCAGGTTCAGTATATGTTCTCTATGAGGAAAGGTTACAATAGTTGGCTTGTTTAGTTCTATAAGCAAAATTAAATAATGCAGAACAACAACAACAACAACAACAACAATAACAACAACAACAAATGAGAAGGTGTAGATCTTGTGGGACTTTCGAATACAAACGGATCGTCATTTAGAGCACAACACACTAGATATCACAGTTGTAGAGGGCCGAAGTGTACAGTTTATTGACATCACTGTTCTTGGAGATGCCAGAGTCGAAGAAAAAGAACTAAAAAAAATAATGAAATATCGCAACCTGGCCATTGAAACTACATGGCTATGGATGAAGCATGTAACAGTGATACCCATTGTATCGGGGCACTTGGCACTATGTCCAAGAATTTTACAAGATACATCAACAAATTGCAGCTTCCTGCAATAACACCAGCGGAACTGCAAAAAACTGTACTACTTGGAACATCTTATATTTTAAGAAGGTTCTTGGTTGCTACCTAGGACCCTGGCAGCAAACCGTATCAACCATTAGCACCAGTCAATGGTATTTGTGATGCATTTTTGAATGTCCAGTTGGCTGAGTTTGATGTTTAATGAATAAAGTATATAATAACAACAATAATGCTGTTATTGCTTCCTGCAATAACACCAGTGGAACTGCAAAAAACTGCGCTATTCGAAACATCTTATATTTTAAGAAGGGACTTGATTGATACCTAGGACCCTGGCAGCAAACCGTATCAACCATTAGCACCAGTCGATGGTATTTGTGATGCATTTTTGAATGTTCAGTTGGCTGAGTTTCATGTTTAATGAATAAAGTATATAATAACAACAATAATGCTGTTATTGCTTCCT